GGGACTGGGGGCACTGGGTGTGTTTTGGGTGTTCCATACTGGTTTGTACTGTTCCATACTGGTCTGTACTGATCTGTACTGCTCTGTACTGGTCCATAATGGTCTATACTGGTGTGTTTTACAGACATCCGTCTCCGTGTCCGTGCCGAGTACTGCGAGCACGAGCGCGCCCTCCGTCGCGGTGTCGCCTCGAGCCGTCCCCGCGGCCCCGGTCGCGCCCTGGACGTGTTCGGCCAGGCCTCGGGGGTGCTGAAATCCCGGGATTTGGGCTCCATCCTGTGCGACATCAAGTTCTCGGAGCTCTCCTACCTGGAGGCCTTTTGGGGCGATTACCTGAGCGGGGCCCTGCTCGAGGCCCTCAAGGGGGTTTTCCTCACCGAGGGGCTGCGCAGGGCCGTGGGCAGGGAGGACGTCCGGCTGCTGGTCAGCGTCGACCAGGACGACTACGAGCAGGGAAGGAGGCTCCTCATCAGGGCCGGCCAGGGGGGGAACTGGGGGGGCAATCGGGGGGTGACGGGGGGGGCAACAGGGGGGGTGACCGGGGGGGTAACTCAGGGGGTGAAGGGGGAAACCGGGGGGGAAACCGGGGCAGGGGTAGGAAGGGAGGGGGAGGGACGCGGGGGTGAGGGAGGGAGGGAAAGGGGCACAGGGTGGGATGGGAAAGGGGGGATGGGGGGAGCTCAGGAAGGGGGGAGTGGCCCAATGGGGGGACTGGGACCCCCAGGAAGGGGTGGAGTGGGAACTGGGGGCACTGGGACCCCCAGCAAAGGGTGGAGTGAGAACTGGTGGCAGTGGGACCCCCAGGAAGGGGTGGAGGGTCCCAGTGGGGGAACTGGGACCACCAGGAAGAGGTGGAGTGGGAACTGGGGGAACTGGGACCCCTAGGAAGGGGTGGAGGGTCCCAGTGGGGGAACTGGGACCACCAGTAAGGGGTGGAGTGAGGAATGGGGGAACTGGAGGAGCTGGGACCCCCCCAGTAAGGGGTAGAGTGTCCCAGTGGAGGACCTGGGGACACTGGGGGAACTGGGACCACCAGTAAGGGGTGGAGTGTCCCAGTGGTGGAACTGGGAACCCCAGGAAGGGGGTGGAGTGAGGAATGGGGGAACTGGGACCCCCAGGAAGAGGCAGAATGGGCACTGGGGGAACTGGGACCACCAGTAAGGGGTGGAGGGTCCTGTGTTGGCACTGGGGGCACTGGGACCCCCCAGTAAGGGGGTGCAGTGTCCCAGTGGGGCCACTGGGAGCACTGGGGAGACCCCCCAGACCCCAAATCCCCCCTTTCCCCCCCAAATTGTGGTCGGGGGGGGTGGTAAAAAAATGGGGGAGGGGCTTGTGACCCCCCCCCTTCCAAATTTGCTCCCCTCCCCCCTCCCCTCCCCCCCTTTTCTGCAGGTGACCCCCCCCATTTTGGGGGGGCGGGGCTGTAAATATGTAAATGAGCCATTAAATTTAGGGGGGCGGGGCCGGTTTGGGGTGATGATGTCACATGGTTGTGACGTCATGGGGTGATGACGTCATGTGGTGATGATGTCATTGGGAGGGGCAAATAAAGGGGGAGGGGATGGGGGGCGGAAACCCCCAAAGTGCCTAAAAGTGGAGGGGGAGGGGTTAAAATATGTAAATTATTCAAATTTATGTAAATAGGGGTCAAAGGGGGGGGCTGGGGGCGGGAAACTCGACCTTTGGGGTTTTTGGTTTGGTTTTTTTTTGGTGTTTTTCCCCCCAAATCCGGGGGGGGGTCAAAGGGCAAAAATTTTGTTTTTGGAAAAAAAAAAAAAACTCGTTTCAATAAAAACCTTCGGAAAAAAGGGTCGGGAATTTTCTTTATGGGGGGGGGGGGG